AAGTTTCTCTTTCAGAAAGGCAATAAATCTTTATGATTGTAAAATTTTAGGAATAACTCAGTTTAAAGTTATTTTCATAAAGCCTAAGTAGATGGAAAAAGTAAAAAAAAAATGGATAGAAATTATTCTTCACCAAATTAAATTGAGGAAGAAAATAATGCATAGTTTATGCAAAGATTCTATATATGCACAGAGATACTTAAGACATGATTCTCCAAATGGGAAAATGGTATAAACATGTAAAGCATCAGTAGTAGTCCAAGATTTAAATAATCATAATAGAGATGATGTCACAAATAGTAGATGATTAATTCTTTTTTATATTTGAGCTTTCATAGACTTCAGAGTTTTTTGTTTCTTGAAGTATAACATATATACAGAAGAGTATATATCAAAAGTTGTAGTTCAAAAGATTTTTTGCAAATTGAATATATCCACTTTACCAACATACAGATCAAGAATAAGAGCAGTTAAACCTACCCATGATACCAAAATCCAGATCAAGAATCAGAGCAAAAGCTCATGGTTTTTTGATTCTATTACAGTAAGATTAATTCTTAGATGAACTGTAAGGCAGTTTTACTCTTAGACATCAGAGAGTGGAATGATCACTTTGGATGAGAAATAGAGACAAGACTGAAAGTCCTCCAATGTGGTATTTAAGTCCAAGGCAAGTTTTTGAAAATAAATATAATTATATGTAGACCAGGAACCTGTTTCCTACCACTGATGCTCAGTATTATTCTATCTCTGTTTAGTTTCTTATGATCTAGTTTTATAAGCACTTACTAATTCTCTTCTGTAAGTATGGTAAAAGATAGAAAAAAGTGATTTTTTTGTCCTCTAAAACTCATAGTCAACTAAGAGGATGAGTAAAACATACATATAACGGCATTTACAAGGTTAGAGTAAGCAGGAATTATTGAAGGGTTCTGAGGCAAATGCTGAACTCTGCCCAAGTTTAATTTGAGGAGCTTCAGCCTCGGTATAAGTTTTCTAAGTGATAGGTTAATGCATTGTTTGACTTTACTAAATGCAAGGAATAGTTAGCTGGAGAATTGCAAGTAATGTTCAGTTCAGTTCAGTTCGGTTGCTCAGTTTTGTCCGACTCTTTGCAGCCCCATGAACCGCAGCACGCCAGGCCTCCCTGTCCACCACCAACCCCCGGAGTCCACCCAAACCCATGTCCATTGAGTCAGTGATGCCATGCAACCATCTCATCCTCTGTCATCCCCTTCTCCTCCTGCCCTCAATCTTTCCCAGCATCAGGGTCTTTTCAAATGAGTCAGCTCTTCGCATCAGGTGGCCAAAGTATTGGAGTTTCAGCTTCATCAGTCCTTCCAATGAACACCCAGGGCTGATCTCCTTTAGGATGGACTGGTTGGATCATCCTCAAATTTTAATTTCCTAATTCTGGAAAAAATATTATTTTTCAATAGTTGGTTGACTGATGGTTTACTAATGATAATATTGATATTATTTTTCTTTGTAAATCATCTAATAATATTTAATACAGTCAGATAAAAATATTCTGAATATTAAGGTAGTAGAGCTAGGATTAAAATTTTGTCATGGATAATCCAAATAGTGAATTGGATCAAAAATGTCATTGGAGATGAAAAATAATCCCACTTTTTCATCAAATTCCTTGCTGGGTCCTAGAGTTAGCAAAGGTCAGGAGTGGGGGAGTACTCAGAATCATGACTGCCTGGGAGGCATGTTAGTGGGTTTATCTGTGAGTATGTCATATCTTACTTTGGGGCTTTTAACAAAAAGTTTCTCATAAATTTTTTTTAATCCATTGAATACATTCCAAGTCAAGTTTAATATTTTCATCTCATGTAGGCTTTTGCTATGTAATTTTTCTTAACTAGTAAAGGGAATGGAATTTTTATTACATGTGGCTCAGAATTAATTGTACTCCCTTGATGAATGTTCAGTATGTGTATGTTTTAGTAGCTCACATTTAAAAACACTGAAAGATCTGTCAACATTTGGATGTATATCAAAAATGTTATGTGTAAGTTTGACTATTCATGAAATTATAATAGTTTCCAAGGGTAAAGGGGAAGAGTTTTATCTGAAGCCAAGATTGTGTCAATCTTAAAAAAATGACACAAGCCCTTGTGATTATCTTGTAATTAATCTTTGGTATATTTTGATTTGAAAATTTGTTTTTCTTATCACGTCAGGAATTTACCATCCTAAAGTTGACCTAATTAGGCAGCTTTCTTTGGTTATCTATCATTTGGCAGGTGTTTTTGGTTAAAAAAATAAAAAACAAAACTGATCACATTTTTCATTCCCTGATTTTTATTCCTCCTGAATCAATAAAACATAGGCTCTACATGCCCCTGTAACATTAATTTTTCCAAAAATAGGTAAAAGAATAAATACATACATTTTATTAATACCTGATCAGTTGTTCAGTCACGTCCAGCTCTTTGAGACCCCATGGATAGTCCCCTCTGTCCATGGGATTTTTCCAGGCAAGAATACTGGAGTAGATTGCCATTTCCTTCTCCACATTTTGTGAATACTTTGTGGAGGAAGACTCAGGAAGATTTGGGGAACACTGAGCATTGTTGATGGCTTGCCAGGTGGATCAACAGTGATGAATTCACCTGCAGTGCAGGAGGCACAGGAGACATGGGTTCGAGCACTGAGTCGGGAAGATGCCCTGGAGGAGGAAATGGCAACCCACTCCAGTATTCTTGCCAGGAAAACCCCACGCACAGAGGAGCCCGGCGGGCTACAGTCCATAGGGTCACAAAGAGTAGGACTTTACTGAGCGATTGATCACACACACACGAGCATTGGTGATACATGCAGAATTTTTTTGTGTAAATTCTTTTTCAAAATTAGTTATAGGAATTTATGTTAAATTCTGACCACTTTAATCAAAGAAAAGCTGTCAGAGTGAAAAATTAAAATATATTTGTGATATTTTTATTCTAAATAAAATTGGATGGTGAAATTACCATGCCATGACATTTGTGAAAAGTTAATTTCTATGAAAAACCAAAAAATGTATACATAATAAATACATCCTCACAAGCACACCTGATGTTTTACTTTAAATGTAGCTATGACTTTTAAGGAAAATGGTTACATTATAAAAATGAATCCTAATTTTCAAAAATTAGATGATAATGCTTCTCCTGAAGGGATGAAGGTGAATCAGATGTTCAAGTGTGTCTTTACTAGATTTCTCATATTCCAAAGAGTTTAAGGCCTTTAATATATAGTAGATTAACCATACATATTTTAAAAACCCTTTAAAAGTGCCAGCTTTACCCAAAAGCCTTTTTTTCCCCTCTAACAGTGGATTGATTTCTCATTATGATTTTTTTCAATAATTAACAGGTACCTGGTATTAAATAAGACAGTGATTCTACCATTGTCCTTATAGCCTGGTGAATCATTTCCTAAATAATCATTTAAAGGGAATTTGGGAAGAGCCAGAGAAATCGGGGGGAGAGGGAGATGGGAGGGGGGATCGGGATGGGGAATACATGTAACTCCATGGCTGATTCATGTCAATGTATGACAAAACCCACTGAAATGTTGTGAAGTAATTAGCCTCCAACTAATAAAAATAAGTGAAAAATAATAATAAAGGGAATTATGATAAATAGTTTAAAGAACAAGTACAGGCACCTTAAGACTGATGCAATAAGGCATCATTCGTCTCTTTATGTGGACAATCCAGGGAGGTCAGGCTGGATTTTTCTTGAGGTCAGTTTGTGTTCTGGAGGATGGAGGGGTCTGTGTCTAGTGTCACCTAGAAAGCTCTTACAGGTGAGCAAGCGAGAGGGTGATGGAGCAGAAGGATGGAGGAGAATAATAGATGGATCAAATCCATCTATTTGGAGCTACATCAGTTGGACTTGGGGACTGGATGTGAAAAAGAAGTGAGAGAGGCAAGTGTGGAAGACAAGTTCTAGGTTCCCAACAAGAGCTCTAGCAGGATGGTGCGTGGGTTTACAGAGTTGGGGTGCTGGAAAAGGCCCCAGTTTTGGTGGGAGGGTCCTAAATGTGGTATTGCTGTGCTAAATTCAAATGCTGGTGAGAGCAGAGTAGGTGTATCTGGCAGGCAGTTGGATGTGTGGACCTACAAGCTGAAAGATAAGTTGAGTAAAAATCTCGGCATCATTGGCTTGGAGAAGCCAAGGTCCATGGTATAATATGAGATCATGGCAGGAGAATGGGGAGAAAATGGGCCTAAACCCGCGCGTTGAAAGGCTTAATAGGGAAGGAGGAAGCAGCCAGAGAGACTGAGAAGCCTCCAGAGGGGTAACAACTAGCCGTCAATCCCAAAGACTTTAAACAGCAGCGGTATTAACATTCTGGTTTTTGTGGTGAGAATTTTTGTGTAATAGTAATTATCTGTGAGAATCAGGAGATTCAGATTAGTGAACCTGAGGTTTCCTGCACCTTTTGTATAATTGAACAAAAAAAAGGTTATTTTTTTTTACCACTTGAAAAAAATACTTTTCATGAGAAAGTATTAAGTAATGTCTATGAGGCTAAAAATTAAGTGTTATGAATAGATGAATGTTGAAGCTGATGTCATAACCAGGTGTTTTCTCAGAGGAAAACTACAGAGCCACTCTCAACCAAAAATGCTGTTGCATTTATAGAGTTTAAATACATGAAGAGGCATTGTTTTTCTGCCTGTAATATTGTTACCATTTATTGACAGCAGGTTGATTAAAAAAAAAAAAAGACATGATTCTAGTGATATGAGAGTCACCCCTGGGAGTGATCACTGGTTGGGAATCTTTCTTTTCTTTTCTTGTGTTAACTCTGAAGACAAACCAGTCAAAGAAGGACAGTTCACCATTATTAATGTATTGTATAGTCTAAGCTTAGAAGAGCTCAGATCACTTTAAAAGTTTTTGTATAATCAATAAAATTAGTATTAATTTTCACAGCATTCTTTGCAAGGCAGGCATGCTTGAAGCAATCTACTAATATGTGTCCTTTTTTCCTTGTAGGGTTCCCTGGGGATACAAGGCCCCCAAGGTCCACCTGGAAAAGAGGGTCAGAGGGTAAGTAAACTCAGAACAACTGGCAGGCATACTAACTCAGAGGTTACTTATTTCTGAACACTTATAAAAAATAAATTGGAATACGGTAGGCGAATGGGCAATGGGAGAATATCAACTATCTGAAAGCTGAAATTTGAGATTTTGACAGAGCTTTTACAATCCAGAAAATTCTATATATTTTCCAGATTGGCAGCACAAGTGTGGAGATACTGTTTGGGTGAAATGAATTAACTGTCATTTAATCTGGAACACGTGATCCTATTTTGGGGTTTTTGAGTTAAACTCATCTTTGCTGATTTAAGTTTAATGAGTTATCTTTGTGGAGTTTTAGCATGCTTATGAATTCTGGAAAGGCTGTGGATATTAACTGCATTCTTTAGCCAAATTAAATTATTGACATTAGTGCCTCTTTGTGGTTAACTTTTCCTACCTTTGAGATATGTATGTATCACGTGAACACATCGTACTTGCTGAGGGAGTATAGCAGTCACCTTCCAGTTCAGTTAGGCTTACTGGATCCCAGTAAAAGGAAGCCTGGCGGTGAGACTTGGTCAGCCCTCCATGAACACTCTGTAATGGGGTACCCCATTCCTGTGGCTAACTGTTATTAACTATTTTCAAATCATGCTAAAGATTCCAAACATTTTATATGTGCTTTGTTACATGAATAGTATTTTTAACTTTTGTTACCTTATAGATGAGAATTGCGTGACTCCTGGAGTGTAGATACCTTGCCTAAAGTTACAGAACTAATGAAAAATCAAGCTAGGACTTGAATTTGGGCTTTCTGACTTTGGATTTCATGTTCTCTTTTACTGTCTCAGCATGTTAACCCCAGATCTCTTTCTTAGTCATTTAAACTTATTATTCCCTGTTCTGCCCCCTGGCAAATAAGTCTGTTGCCTCAGATATATAAGTCCTTCAAATATTTGAAGACCTATGGTATTTTTACCAAGGTTTGCCTTTTGTCGGGTTGATAATAAAATCCACATTCTCTAAGCTCCTCCTCCTGTCTAGATTACTGACTACCTAACATGCCAGTGGTCTTTCACAGAAAACACTCATGAACCTTCTGAAGGTGTCAGTAATGGAACTGGAGGTATATATGGTATTTAGGGCAGAGTTAAGTGTGGCAAATATTCCCTGTGCCTATGACCACAGGCTTTTATTGCAACCTAAGCACAGTGCTTCTGTGAATGGCATCACACTTTGTTTTTCCTAACTCCTTCTACTCGGGCAGCTCTCTTTTTTAGAATTTATTTTCCAGAGTTACAATTAAAAGTTTATTAGGAAAAAAAATGAACTAGATGACATCCAAGTTTGTTCAGTTAAAAAATTCTGTATCCAGTTCTTTTTCCCAGTGGCTATTTCAGTGAACATAGTAGGGCTTAATAAATTTGGATGATGAAAAAAAAGAAAACTGTTGTGAATAATAGCTAACATTTATGGGCTACCTATTTCTAATTTCATTTATTTCTCACAGTAGCTCTGTGAGATAGATTCTACTACAGTGCTCACAGGGAAACAGAGTTTGTTCAGGAGCCTGAATAGAAGACATTGCTATTAAGTGGATTATGTAGATATTTTAAAACTATTTACAAAATAGTCACGTCTGGGTTCTACTCTCAACACCTATGTGTATAATTATAGTTTCCCTCTTTTTAGCTCTCCAGCTCACTATCCAAGAGTTCATTAATCCACCTGATCAAAGTTTTAAATAGTCTAGGGAAAAAATTGAAGATTACTTCCCTAGATCTGTGCTTTTGAGGCTGTCTTAAGCATTTTACCTACTGGAGGCAGAAGACTAGATGAAATGACCTTGTGTACTTAATGCCTAAGCTTCTTATTTTGTCACAGTCATGGCCAAAATGACTGTTCCATCTAGGACCATGTTTCTGAATTAACTTCTGTCTTCAGCATCCAGGGGACATTTTGCTTGTAGTAACTACCCCTTCATGGAAACTGAGTGATCAGTTATACCCCCTAGTTAATCTATAAGGAGCAAAATATATAAGGAACACAATAACAAAATATCCAAAATATGTAAGGAACACATGCAACTCAGTAGCAAAACATGCCACAACCCAATTTTCAACTGGACAAAGGACCTGAATAGACACTTCTCAGAAGAAGACATACAAATGACCAACAGCTGTATGAAAAGGTGCTCAATGTAGCTAATCATTAAGGAAAACTATTCAAAACCGCTGTGAGCTATCACCCCACATTTGCTAGAATGGCCAGTATCAGAAAGATAAGAGATAAGCATTGACAGGTTATGGAGAAGAGGGAACCCAGGCTCCCTGCTGGTGGGAATGTAATTTGGTGTAGCCACCATGGAGAACAGTATGGAGGTTCCCCCAAAAAGTAGATCTACCTTATGAGCCATGAATCTCACTTCTGGGTGCATATCTGAAGGAATGAAACCAGTATTTTGAAGAAATATGCATACTCCCATGATATGGAAGCAACCTAAACATCTATTGACAGGTGAATAAATAAAGAAAATACAGTTAAACACACACACACACATACAGTGGAATATTATTTCAGCCTTAATAAAGAAGGAAATCTTGCCATTTGTAACAAACTGGATGAACCTGGATGATATTATGCTAAACGAAATAAGCCAGTCATGGAAAGACAAATACTCACATATGTGGAATCTGAAAATGTAAAAATCCATAGAAACAGTGAGTAGAGTGGTGATTACTATAGGATGAGGGAGAGGGGAGATGTGGATCACAGGGTACAAAGTCTTAGATATACAAGATGAAGAAGTTCTGGGGACCTAGTGTACAGCAATGAGAGTGTAGTTAATATTGTGTTGTATACTTGAAATTTGATGAAAGAGTGGATCTTAAGGGTTTCCACCACAAAGAGGTAACTATTTGTGAGCAGATGGATCTGTTAATTAGCTTGATTATTGTAACTATTTCACAATGTCACAGTTTTAATTTTCAACAATGACTCAGTAAAGTAGAATGATAATAAAACTAATAAACAGAGTTTTAGTTTCAACTCCAGAAAGTAGCTTACAGTCCCTGGGTGGTTTGAGATGGAAATTATGGAGCTAAGTGGGTGAAGGTAGGCAGTGTGTCTGAATTCCTCCCTCAGTAGCAGCGATTTTTTTTTTTTAATTTGAGTGGTAAGAACACTTAACATGAGGTCTACTCTCTTAACAAATTTTAAGTTTACAGTGAAATTGTACTTGTTTTTAAAAATAAAGTATAGTTGATTTGCAATGTCATGTTAATTATCGCCGTACAGCAAAGCGACTCAGTTATATAGGCATTCCTCTTTAATATCCTTTTCCATTATGGCTTATCATAGGATATTAAATATAGTTCCCTGTGCTTAGCGTAGGAGCTCGTCGTTTATCCATTCTGCACATAAAAGCTTGCATCTGCTAACCCCAACCGACCTCTCTCTACCTCCCGCAGTACCCTCCCCGTTGCAACCGCAAGCCTGTTCTCTATATCCGAGTCTGTTTCTGTTTACAGTGAAACTGTACTTCCAACTTGGGCTGACGTGGTCATTTCAAGGCACTGCCTCCTTTATTTTAATGAAAACTTCTTCCCAGTCAGATCTTCACCGGTCCTACAACTGTGAATCACAGAATAGGAATTGATCCTTGTCATCATTAAATTTCATCTTCTGGGTGTTAGTTTCTAACACCATTCTGTTAGCTGTTTTCCCAGTGAAATAGCTCTACTCCACCTTAAATTTTGATAAGCCTGCCCTCTGAGTCTTCATTCACATCACTAATAAATCCTGAGCAGGACAGGCCTGACTCTATGTAACACCAGCAAAGCTGCCACCTTGTCTACCGTTGATGTTCGTGTGGCGTGATACAAATCATGTACAAATACATTTGACCTCTCCTTCCTTCCCACCCACATTTCTTAATTTGTCTTGTAAGATAATTATAAGAGTCTTTGTCAGACTAGCTGAAATGAAAAATATTCAAATGAGGTTCTTTTAAAATAATGATGCTTCCAATTGAAATTGTACCCTAGCAAATCATACATTTCAGAAGGTGAGTTAACAAATAATTCAAACTTATGTATTCCTCATGATAATTATGAAGGAACATATTCAAATTATAAAGTTCAACCACTATATTATGCAAATTTACTCCATTTATAAATATGTATAGTCCAGGTAATTTTATATTACTTTTTATTCTATCTTATCAAGAGAAACAGTGTCAGAAACTAAAGAATGTAGTAGAATTTTACAGATAATGTTAGGCAAGCTTTATTATTATTACTACTGCTTTTTCGCAAATGCTGTATAGTTAAAGGAAGGCATTTAGGTCAGGTATTATTGATGTTATCCACATTTACAAATGATTATTTCCAAATGTGCTCAATGATTCATTCTGCTTTTCAGTTATTTGAAGGGGAAGCACATTAAGGAATTGACATTGACATTTGACATTGACATCCCTCAGTCATGTCCGACTCTTCACGACCCCATGGACTGCAGCCTACCAGGCTCCTCCGTCCATGGGATTTTCCAGTCAAGAGTACTGGAGTGGGTTGCCATTTCCTTCTCCAGGAGATCTTCCCGACCCAGGGATTGAACCCGGGTCTCCCACGTTGTAGGCAGACGCTCTACCGTCTGAGCCACCGGGGAAGTCCACATTAAGGAATAAGTATTCTTAAATATTTTCATTTAGGCCCAACTTACTGCTACGATTTCTTCTCTGCTCAAGAGTTCAGCACGCAGCTCTTTTGGACACACAAATGTACATGTCTGTGTATGTGTGTGTGTGTGTACATACACACAGACACACGCACTGAAAGCTAAGACCAGTAATTTTTCATTTCTCTGCAATTTGCGATAGAAAACAACAGAAAAACCTAGGAATTTAAAATTCTTTTCTATTGACCTATTCTCAAGAAAACCCATATTTTTTTTACAGGTGTTTGATCAGTAAGGAGTTAACTACCACTAAGTTTTTTGAAATGAAATATATAATATGTGCAAGTTTA